GTTTTCAAAAACGAGAAGGTTTAGAAGGGATTCAAGTTGCGAGCAAAAATGAACAATAGATGAAGACGGAGAGCGGTAGATTGATGCAATGATGGTGTTTCTGCCGTTCAGTGAAAAAACCGTTTGGTCAAATTCAAGCCAGACCGATTCACAGTTTAGGTTAGTAAAAGAAAGATCGTGACGACGCCTATATGACAATGACGAATCAATAAAGACCGCAGAACCACCACCACGGGCTGAATCGCGGTTGCAGTACTCAGAGGTATAGTTCGACATGCCATATAGATTACCATCGTTATTTGTTAACCATGTCTCAGAGAGGCATATGACTGAAAACGTGTGATTGATTGCTGTTAGGAAGTGTATGAGGTCATTATGATGCTTTCTGAGGCTGCGGACATTGAAATGAATCAATGATAAAGCTGGGGGTTTATTCTTGAGAAATGTTTTAGTTTGCTGATAAGACAAAATAGATAACGAGATAAGACCTCTCGTTAGATTTTTAATGGGTCGTAGAGGGCGGTACTTGTACAAATAACGAAATGCATATAAGCTGAAAAATGCAAATGGTACGATACTAGAGGACGTTACTTGTAGTATGATAAATAATAAAAATCACTCATATCCATGGAGTGAATGATGATGAGTGGGTCGAAGCGTCCATCAGTCCGTCCGCGCTTCCGTTCGTCCATCCGTCCGCCCGTGCGTCCGTTCCTGCGTTCGTACATGCGTCCATCCGCCCGTCCCTGCATCCGTCCCTGTGTTTGCTCATGCGTCCATACATCCGTCTGTCCGTGCGTCCGCCTATTCGTCCGTGGAACAGAGACAGACAGACACACACACAGACAGACAGACAGACAGACAGACAGACAGACAGACAGACAGACAGACAGACAACGGATGGACGCGGCCAGCGAAAGATTTATGGTTTGCCGATTAAGAATATGATACGCGCGAGGCGGCAGCGGCTCGCCCTCGAAAACATAACTCCAATGTGCGAGCGCGCGAGAAAATAGGAATGATGTCACACGAAGACATTGGCGATCACGTGCTCGTCCGCAGCGCCGTACGCTATGGGGCGCAGTGTAGCAAAATAAAAGTTGTTTTGGTGCCTGCGCGTGTTCAGAAGGTCAGCGGACGGACAAGGCATTCTAGTAACAAGGCGACAAGGCTGCAGAGCGGCGTGCGCGCAAGGCGGCGGCAGCGGCTCACGCTCGAAGACGAAACCCCGATGTGCGAGTGCGCGAGGCAGAAGCGTGCCGTGAAGCTGTGCGGCGGCGCCGACAAGATCCCGGCGTACGAGAACGGGAGGCCGAATCGGCGCGGCAGTGGCGTGCGGACCCAGTTTGGCCCCACTCTCCATCATTCACCCCGTGGATATGCTGTTATTTTTTTTTTATCGATGCGGCCTCATCGAGCGTTAGGCTCGAGGAACGGCTTTCAGCTCTCCCCAAGTAGAGTACCGAGTACTCTAAATTGTTCACCACCTTTTCTAAACACCGCTCCACCCATTCCACACACGCAGTTTTTGTCGACACGGCCTCGTGAAATGTGAGGCCCACGGGACGGTTTTTTGCTCTCCCGTATAGTAGAGTACCAAGTACTCCGAATCGTTAACGTTTTCTAAACTAAAAGTTACCCAGCCAGTGGCCGTACTCCTTCGCTACGCGCAGCGTCGTGAAGTCATTCGTGGCAGAATTTTCGTCAACGCGGCTTCACCAAGTGTGAGGCTCACGGGACGGCTTTATGTTCTCCCATGGTACAGTTCTAAACACTCAAAATAGTTCACCAGTTTTCCTAATACTCAGAAATGCATGTGCACATTTTTTTACATCGTACTCTAGATCGTCAAACATTTGTTTTTAAACGCACGTGACACGGTAGTCGTTTTCATGAGTGCAACACTGAGGAATGGTGTTCACTTTTTTGTTGACAGCGATGGCCGCATCATAACAGTAGACGTGCTACTTAACTGCGAAGGAGTGAGATTTGTCAACATGCATGTGCGCGCGATGAGCTCATAAACAAACGGCGTTTATAAAGCTGTCAGGAACGTTTTGTTCAAGTTGCTTTTATTTGTGTTTGTCGGATATATTAACTGCGTGTTTGATGCTACATGCGACGTCAGGAACCCGGCCAAGGTGCTAACAGTTTTTACGCCAGAGAACTTTAGCAACTAATTAAGGATGTGAAGCTGGTAGATGGGTGGTTCGCTCTCGGCAACCCGAGACTGTGGGATTCCCCAAAGCTGCATTGAGGAGTTGTTGTGCCCGACTATTTCATGCCGAACCTACAAGCGTGTGAGCTAGGAGGCTGTGCGGGCGCGAAATCTGCGGAAACTGGGTGATTAAGCTTAGTTACCCTTCACCCGTGACGTGTGTGCAAGAACGAGAGTTTACAAATCGTGCGGGAAGGATCCGACAATTCGTCGCGATGAAGAAACCATTTTCGTGCTTAAAATTGAGCTGGCAGCCTGACTGGTTGAAGTGGGGTGCTTAAGCCCGGCCACATGGGACCACTTGAACTCCCGCTGGCACATCATAGTTCGGCAGGCCGGACAAGCACGCGAAGCTGGCCTTGCGGCCAAGATGAATGAGGTTTTCCGGCGCATTCAAATTATAGAAATGGGTGCGTCAACTACGCTTCCTGTGCTGGAATATGTTAAAGCAAAATAAAATCAGAACCTTTACGCCATGCAGAGGCCTCAGGCTACAAGGCTCCCTAAAGAATTTCACTCACCGATACTTGAAATTGGGAACATACGAAAACGGAAAGGGAATCCGTGGTCGTTGAAGCCAGCCCCGCTACACCGATGAGGTTCTGAGAAAAGATGGCAGCATTGTTAATGATTCGAGTGAAGTTCGCGAGGTTTTCCAATACTACTTTTTAAAACGGTTTGCTGCAGACAATGACGCAGAGTATGACGAGTTCGCTGCCAAACTCTCGGTCTTTTACGAGAGCTTGTCATCATTAGGCTCGGAATACAGGTTTGTATTATGGTCAGGAACTGATAAGGAAATACGGCACGCCCTAATATAAATTATCGTGTCAACGTCACCAGGCCCAGACGGAATACAAACTGGGCTTTATCTGTCTTTTTTCGATATATCGGGAGATGTGATCGCTGATCTCATGAAAGTTTTGTTATCCGATGGCCAAAGACCGTAGTCTTTCCGCAAAGTAAGAATGACTCCGTTACTGAAAGTGGATATTGAGACATGCAGTTAGCGCGACGTCTGCGGCTGTTCTTGCAGTATATTTTGTCACCTATGTCGTCATGTGTAGTAGTAGGTACCGACTATACTCCGTGACGATGACGATTACGCTGATGACAATGAAGGATAAGCGCGTCATCCAAGGAGCATCATCATCATCGCCATCAAACCCCCCCTTCTCTTTCTGCCATGGATGAAAATGATCGCGAAAGCCCTCTAGCCCGCGAACGGCAAAGCGGCAACGCTGACAAGCTGCTACTGCTCAGACGAGAGCATGGCATGCGGCGGCTAAACATCAACGCAGATGGCGAGCCACTCTTCGTGAAGATGCGTGTATATTTTCAAGTGCTTTGCCCATTAGGGGTTCAGCGTATGCGGCGGGATCAATTGCCACTGGCAGATGCGTAAGTGAAGGATTTGGGTCACCTACAATATTTTTTTTTCTAGTGAAACAGGTATTATGTCTTAGTAGACTGTTTTGTCTACAGCCTGTAGTCACAACAGCTAATTCAAGTACTTGGCAATTCTCTTATCGTACAATTTTTTCATAATATATGTAGGCACTAGTTACAAATATTTAGTGCGCAAGTGCCAGTAGCACTTTTCTGTGCTCTTCGAAACGTCTTCCTTTTTACAGACCCTCCTCGCAGTGGGTATCCACATGCAGTAATATTCAAGTTTTAAATATGTAGTCATTTCATAATGAGCAAATACCGCATGCACCTTGGCTAATATACCTAAAGACAATACGCCATTTATTGACGCTAAATGGACAAATATAATTTTAGTTCGGGTTTATGTGTAACTGTCAATATTACCAACTATTAGTTTCTGTTTCCTGTACATTGGCCGCTTGGGTAACTCCTGTGTCTTAGGTGGCTTGAAGCCATTTCGAATAATTTGCCTCTCTGACTTTAGCTACATTTGGGTGCAGGGGCGTAGTGAGAATTCTTTTTTATGGGGAGGAGGGGTTCAACTATAGTTTATGTACATTCGCACGTGTGTCTGTGCACGTGCGTGTATATTTACGTAAACAAAATTGAAATTTTTCAGTAAAACTCGATCCCCCACCCTTGGCTACGCCCATGTTCAGGTGATTGTCTCAGAGCACTCCGGAGGCTCCAAAAAAAATTGCTCAACATAGTAGCGAAGCATTGTAACGAAAATAAGTGGTATAATACATGATAAAAAGACAGCAAACAAGACTTGCAAAAATGCTTATTCTCTCTGCAGATCTTCAAGGCTCTTGAATACGACGCTTTCAAACACGGTGAGCATGCTCTCAAGTTACTACCTACCTACATGGTTCCTTTTAGGTAATTGTTTTGGCTTCCTGGTTATTCTACTGAGCACTTCTTTAAGCAATACTGTACGGTAAGCACTATTGAGCATTGTCGAAAGAATGCGTCAGTGCAGAGCCGTAGTCTGGGGAGTTTCTGGCACTTTCGGGCAGTTTTCGCCACAAGGCACGAAGTGTGCGAGGAATGGGTGAGTTAAAATATATCCATGGTGATGTCAGCGCAACAGCGCCACCGGTGAATATATAAAAAGTCATGTGCTCGTGGTCATCTCCTCTTTCGCGTCCTTGTAATGCTATTCAGGTAGACAATTCCTACAAGGCACGAGTAAGTTAATTAACAATGGTCTGCTTGCGTGACGTTCCAAAACGAGTACGACCGCAGGCAACACGCCTAATACAACTGAGGTACTTGAGTGAAGGCTTGACATTCCAATGTGCAGGCGAGGACAATCAACACACCAAAGATAATCAGGACAATCAACACGTCAAAACTCGGGTGTTTTATTGTCCACGATCACGCCATTCCCACGTCTTTCCTGACCGAATGATTGAAGGACCTAGCCGTAGAATCCATGGCCGTAGCCGTAGCCACCGTATCCACCATAGCCGTGGCCGTATCCTCCGTAGCCGCCATAACCACCGTAGCCGTAATGTGCCCTCTGGTTGTCGTAATGGTGCGTAAGGGCGTGACTGTAGCCTCCATGGCCATAGCCGTGACCGTAGCCACCATAGTAGCCCGCACTGGCCGTAGCAGCGACAACGAGAATGACGAGCGCACACAGCTAGAAAAAGGCAATAAGTTTTACTTTGTGCACTGTCCAATATTCAACCAATTATTACGGTTACCCAGAATAGTTATTTTATGGCATACCAGAGATGGTCTCTAGCAATCGTAAGGTGCTAAGACCTGGATCTATTCTGTTGTGATGTCAGCAAGTAGGTTCTTCGAAAAAAAAACGCATGCGAATCATAGCCATTCATGATGTTACTCAGCAATCAAACGTGACAGTTCTTGTTTCGAAATTATGTTTAAGTGATCCTAAACGTACTCATGAGAAATAAAAAAAAAGCACTGCAAACCCAGCAGCTCGACTTCAAAGGAATTCTGGTGCGTCAATTCACTACCTGGTACATTTTTCTTTATACAATGCAAAAAATACACACCGGAATAACTTCCTGTGTCACGAAGATAATTACTGAGCATATGTAATATTCAATATACACAATTTTCTCGCATGCAGCAAACTTCTCGTGTAATAACTTGCAGCCTCTTAATTATTGTCTCAATGCTCATAGATGCACCGCTTAAGACGAAATGTCACAAAAATATAGAAATCATATGTATAAATACAGAAATCGAATCTGCCAACATGACGTAACAGAAAGGATTCTACGTAATTAGTAAAAAAATTAACTGACAACAGTGAAACGAACAACTGAAATGAGCATTCATAGCATATTGGTATACTTCTGGCATTGTGGACCACAGAGTTTTCAACACTCATTTTCAATTTGGATGAATAATTCTTAATGCAATGAGGGTGCATGTTCCCTGAGAATGTGTGGGACATTGCCAGACTGGATAAGTAGCTGACATTTTCTTATTTGTATTACAGCAAACGAAGACAACGGTGTTATAACCTTGCATATCCACCACTAGTTAAGACCAGCCGTTCTTTTTTATAATCCCGTAGCCGATATTCTTCGTAACTTAGTCGACACAGGTGAGTGTTAATGAGCGCTTGTAGTCTACAAGTAGACATAGTAACTGAAACCACGTGACTTAGTGGGGCGTTTTCTTGGACTGCACTGCATGCGAGATCGGCCCATCTATTTCGTAACTAATCGGACCCCGTAAAGCACTACGGACTGTGAGATGGAAGAGCCCGAGGAATACACTGCCTTCGAAGCTTTAAATACCTTCGCTCAATCTTACTAACCAAAAAATAGCGCAGCAAGCCCCAAGTGTCTGAAGACTTGGTCATAGCAGCGCTTGTAGGTTTCAGCCTCTCTTGTAAACCGTTCGTAAAGAATGATTTGACGGTCATTAAGCACGTACTGGTTTTTAACGTAGCTGATAATGCGTCAAGAACGCAAAGCAAACTCGGCTGTAATTAAAGAGAGAGAATACGGTTTAATGAAAGGCAGCGAAGTTAACCAGAAGAAAACATCCGTTTTGCTATCCTGCCCTGAGGAAAAGGAAATGGGCATGAAAAGGTAACGAGGGAAAAGGTACGGAAAGGGGGATTAAATAAAATAAGGTAGAAAACGCGCGCACACTCAAGCACGGGAGGGTCACAGTCTTCTGGAGGGTTGAAGCTCGGCTGTAAAATTTTCACATTGAGCTTGTGCCCCAGAAACTGGGAAAATCGAAATCTCATTAGCTTTCAGCCCCTCTTGTCAACTCTATGTGCGCAATGTTTTGGCCCTGATTGAGCGCACTCTGGTTCCTGGCGAGGATAAATATATATCTACGACACGCGACGAACCTCGACCATAACAGCTGTGGTGTTCACTTTGTTTTGAATACACCAGCGCTGTCGCCGTATGCACGCTGAGTACCTTCAGATATCACCCAAAACTTCAAGTGCAGCGACTTCATGCGACCGTATCCACCAGAAACGCGACAGCCATATCCAATTCCAGAGAGCTACAGTTTCAAACGTGGTTATATCCACCGCCTTGACCGCATACGTAGTCGAATACTCACAAGAGTCTTCATAGCGAACCACTGGGGAGTTGCGCCGAGCTCTGTTCTGCGAGTGTCTGATCGACCAGACCATAGGTGTGTACATATATATACCTCCCCCACCCAGCAAGTCGTTCAAGTGACGTATTAAAGGTCAGCCGGGGTTGGGTAGCCTGAGTATCGCTGGAATCCGGACGCGTTCCACTTTCACACTTGCCGAATGGCAGATCCCAACGGGTATAGCGAAACGGTTCGCTTAACCCGCCTTTGTGGTGCAATGGAAAGGATAACAAAGCAAAGAGCAGAAAAGTAAAATTGACTTTGTCGTATGGAGGCACTTTCAGACACTGTTTTCACCATCCGCCGTGATATTTCAACGGGTACCAGTCAGCGAAAATTCATTTCTGCAGCATCGAAATTGCCTCAGTTGTTCTTGCTGTTCCAAGGCCTCATGAAACGGATACTTGATTTTATGCATTTCATAACTTCATGGCAAAGTAAATGGGTTAAAAGCCTGCGGTTCTACCGAAATGAGGCTCACAACATGAAGTAGAAATTTTTCTTGGGCTAGTTGGTTCACTCTAGTTGGTTTCGTTCAACTGAAGAAATAAGGCGTGTACGAGACGAGCACAACAAGTGAAAGGTACGGACGCCTGCGGGTGAATAACATTTTCAGCATGGACTAACGCCATGGACGTACAAAACTTTCAATGGAAGGCTTGCGTCCTCTCCTGGAAATTTATCGAGCAAGTGCTAGAATCACGTGCTGCAGAACATCATGTGCTGGGCAAAAGAGTTTCTAGGTAGTTACGTAATGTTCATGCCCGACACTTCTACTACTCATCAAGGCGGAGGAAAAAAATCATTGGCGAAATGTAGACAAATAAATGCTATTTGTTCTGAAACGGATGAAGAGTTATGCATATTAAAAACTTTAGGAAGTCCGCACGGGAACAAAGCGCACTCCTCAGCGTTACACACAATATGTCAATGAATAATTTATGAAGTTCCGCCGAGAAAAAATACTACACCTGAATTCATATACAAATCAAGGACAACGCTGCTGCGTCAATTATTATGGCTTTAGCGAATTTCGCCTTACGAACTGCAAAAAAAAGATATCTAAAATCCTTCATCACTTTTCTACACCGGTACAAAAAGCGTACACATCAAAAACCAAAATGTTCATATGCTTCATTTTTTTACTAATAGAATAACAACCTTCTAACTCAAGAAATTGCGTCTCTTATAGTGCACAAACTTATTAGGTGGCGTTCACTCGACACAAATGCACACTCAATATGAGAGCGCATCAAATGCACCTTCCTCCTCCTGAGACGCACTGCATGTTGAAGAAAAATGTGAAACGTCTAGCGGAAGTTCAAGAACTTTCGAATGAGTTCAACTGGATATCTGGTTTGGTATGAAGATCAATATGCAACGTGTAGTTGTATTCTACGTTACCTTTCAGTGCTCCAAAACCGAAGCAAAGATTGTGTGACATTCCCATGCTGGACATGCCCTCATAGTGAAAGTAGTTTGATCATATCCTCTGAGCCAATCTTCCGTAAAAAATGGCGTCAGTTTGATTGGGAACGTTGCGCTGTTATAGACGAGGAAATACACGCTTGAAGTTAGTTTAGAACAACGCCAAATAACGTGCACGAACTGGTCAACGCGTGGTGAAACGTTTCACTATTCATGATTCGTCGATTCTTTGCTCCATTGCATAAATCACCTTTCTGAGAAGCCTAAAACATTTCAATACTGTTTTATTGTTTTTCCGTAATCAGTATCATCTCCATTCGTTTGATTTTCTTTCCTTTACAACAATATTTTACAATTCATTGATACACAGCACAGTTATATGCTATTCTTCAACATAGTGACTTGTCGCTAGGCTACTTGCAGCATCTTACAAGAAAATTAGGTGACGCAAACCACAGGAGAAAGGAAGGTGAAAGGAACGAAACTCGCAACTAGCGCATATATATATACGTCAAAAAATTGCGAGTCGACACTTTTTCTTTTCGCCGTTCTGTTCTGTTTTAACTATTTTGCTGTGGAGAGGTTGAGGTGCCTATTGCCTCGGCTACTCCATATCACAAAGTTCTGCAGCGAAAAATAAAATAATAATACAGAACGGTACCCAAAATTAACAATACGGAAAAGAAAAAAACATAATAGCACACTGAAACCAGTTCAAATATCATGCCAATACACAGTTTTCTCAGCGCTGTTCACACAGTCATAAACTATTTACACGCACACCTTACTACTCTACTATCAGTATATACATGACCACATTTTATATATACCATCTCTGGCTGTCTGTCACAGGTGCTTGTCCAGTCTGGTCTCCACTAAAAAGTCTGTCAGGAGATTATTGCCTTTTTCTGGAGATGCATTTCAGGACATGGTCCAAGTAGTTTCTTTATTGTGAGGGGCCGTCTGTCCAAACTTGCTAATTTGTTCTTTAATTTTTCTCTTTCATTCGCGTATTTAACGCACTCCTAAAGAATATGGTGAACATTTTCTTCTGCATGACCACAACGGCATTCCGGTGAGTTGGATCGATGTATCTTGTGCAGGAAGCTGTTTGTGTGTGCTACTTCCAATCGAAGTCGGTGGAATAATGTCTCTAGGTGTCGTGGGAGGTCTGTAGCTATGGAAAATTTTCTGTGTGGATCAACTTCATTAAGTACCGTTTCCTTTGATTTAGGGCTCTCAAACCACTTCTGTTGTTCCCCTGTGGTTAGCGCCGTCTAACTTTCTTGTATTGACCGGTATGAACTTTAGGTGTGGCGCACTTCACAGACCCGGGCTGTCGCATGATGTGATCGCTTGGCGTAACTCAGGTAAAAGCAAGTATAAAACTATTAATAAAGGAAACAAGCAACCAAAAAGAGAGATGAAAAAGAGGAATAGAATAGAAATATGCAAAAACAACGACAGAGAAGACACATGAAAGCTCATAAAAAATGGAGGAAGAAAGAAAGAGAAAATCGAGGAGAAACAAAGATGGCCACCCATATTCACACTTCCTTAAAACATTGCAGTACTGGTGCAAACAAGCCCTAAATTTTCTTACATACTTTTCACCCAGCTGTCAATATTGTTGGTCGTTTTACGTGCTAACAAAGATAACATCCCTTTGCAGTTTCTTGCTCTGGGAGCATCTTATGTATCTTCACCTATGTACCACATTGCTTAGTGAAACATCCACGAGCCAGGCTAATTCTCGTCACAGTACACAAGCCAGTTAACATGCATACATTGTATTAATTAGCCAGAACATATGAAGAGTCATTTTATCAAGAAAAAATATCGCTGCATATTTAAGTATATTAGAGGGCGCAACAGAGGGAGCGTTTGGTCTTACCTTTAATCGCCGCACGCGTGACATTAGCCACTCACGCATGTAAATGAGTGACAAGGCGGCTACAGTTATGTGCAATTGCTATTGGTCGTTAATATTATTTCTTGTTAAGTTGTCAATTTCGTTTTGTCTTCATTATTACTGCTTTTTGATATCGCATCTAGCCTTAAGTTGGCAAAGACGAGGTCTGGGCACGTTCCCCCGATGGTTGTTAGTTGTTTCGCGTCATAGGAAATGCATCGTAGAGCATCTCGAGACGTAATATACAGTACAAGCCCGTCGTTGTCCATGATCGCTATCGTGATCATCTTCAGCGTTATCAGCGTCATCGTCATGACGTAGAGCGGCTGCCTTGCATGCGCTGTGCCGTGATAGCAGAAAGAGAATCTGTGGTCTGGAACGCGGTTGTTCTTCATCGTTATCAGCATCATTGTCGGCTGGTGGCTACGGCACACAACAACGCCAACGGGCAAGCCTCTACCTTAAGAAGCTTCGCCCCTAAAAGTATATCCCAATGCTTACTCAGTTTATATTGAGCCACTAAAGGTTTCGTTGCAGGAATGGGACGAGTTAAACATGCGATATCTTTAGGACCGAGAAATATCCCTGAAACACTTTGTTCTGAAGCTCAGCCTGTTTTGCTAAAAAATAAACTTCTTTGAGATCTAAATACTGAAACGTAATCATTGACTGAATGAGTAATTTATCGATTTGAAGTTCTAGTGACACATAAAAGCAGTTTGAGAAGTCATAGTCAGAAGATTTTGGGAAAGCGTTTTGTACCAATAGTGTCTCCTCGAATGGCAAGGAAAGCATAGGCACAAGTGCCCTTATTTTATCCTGATTCTTTACAAATATAAATACCACTGCCAAATATTGAACCCTCTCATTCGTTCATACCACACTGCATTACAAATAAAAAGTTTATGAATGTTTACTCTAAACCCTATTCGTAAACTTCGAAATAATACAACTATTACAACTTATTCGGTAACAAAGTATTAGTAGTTGCCTGCGTGGTAAAGTAGTCGTTCCTGAATCTTGGTCAGTTAATCAGACACATGAACGTTTCTAAGTTTGTTATTTACAATACCAGCAGATACAGAACTAAAAACACTATCGAAGCACTGCTTCAGCAGACTCAACACCCATTCGTGAAGACTGAGAAAACACTAGTACCAACAAGATGTTTAATTCACAAAACCATGAATACGACCTTGTAAAGAATTCGGGGAAAGGAGAACAAAATTATACAATTCTATATGCCTCAATATTTAATCTTTATTGAAATAAGGCCGCTGTGGCAAGCTGTCGATTCCCGTCCCGGAGCTCAGCCGTGCAACACCGCAGCCACTCAGCAGCCTCCACGGATCAGAACACTTGTGCCCGTCGGAGTATTTCACAAGCAGCCGCGGAGATTGATTGATTGATTGATTGATTGATTGATTGATTGATTGATTGATTGATTGATTGATTGAGTGATTGAGTGAGTGAGTGAGTGTGTTTCAATGCGAAGGTCCAAGATCAAATGTCGCAAAAAAGGACATCGCACCATGCTTATATGGCTTGCATTGATATTAACACACACGGAGCTATTCAAATGCCGTTTCAGCCATAAATATCCATAAAATATACATCGGCCACGTTTTCTAACTCCAATCACGCGTTGTTGATAGTAGAAGTAGTCT